GTCGGAGAAAATGAAAAACCCAATTAATGAATCAATTAGTTTTATATTTTTTTAAAGGTTATAATAGCTTAATTAATTATGAATTAATTGCTCCCCCATGGTTTTGCTCTTCACTTTTGGAGGACAGTCCATGTATACCATTTGTAAAACGTTGATAAATCCAATTGAAAATTGCAGTGTTGTTCCTGCAAAGTTTGAGAAGTTTCCCCTTCTTTTTTCAATGTTTGCAGTTCCTTACTAGTTTATTTAGAAGGTGGGAGAGACAGAAATGTGACATTGAATGAATTTGTTGTCATGTCATCAATTGGCTAAGGTTTTTTTTTTCCACGTAAGCATTTGAAAATTAAAAAAGGTAATTGATAGGCACTTAACATGCCAAGTATGCAATTCTGTCAATGGAAGGACCATTTAAGTTATAGAAAAGTAAAGTTTAAGGATGATTTGGGTGCTTTTTGAAGTTAAAGGATGAACTAAGTTTGGAAATCAAAGTTTTGGGACCAAATTAGGTATCAAACCTTGTTTTAATACTCTTTTCTTTTCCTATGAAAAAATTACTAATATTTCGTTCTTTTTGGTTTCTACCGTCCATATATATATATATATATTGTAGAACCAGAGATGTGATCTTTCCCTATATAACAGCTTGAAAATAAGTAAATAACTAGGATTGACATTCCTCTGTAACAAGATGATGAAATTGCTCCAAATTGTTGATATCAAACCCAATCAGATTCGTCAAACTGAAAACAGCATGCTGCCGTGCACTCTTGTTTATTTTTTTTAACAAAATCAAACACACCTAATTTGTTCAGAAACTTAACTGTGTTAATTTACCATCAGTATCCAATCGAGATCTCCTCTACAAAAATTATGTATATGTGTTCCAATATAAAATTTATATCTAATTTAAAATTAATTAATAATAAATCAAATAATTTTTTTTTTTATATTTTACTTGTATACTTTTTCATTATATACTCTATTTAAGATTTTCCCACCTAACAAAACAGCTGAACTGCTAATAAAGAAAGTAAAGATCAAATTCAATCAAATTCTATCATCAGGATCCAATCAAATTCGAGAACAGACAATGAAAGTAAAGATCTCCTCTTGAATTAGCGTACCGTATTCAAAAATCCTAATGTTCTATTTGTTGACTTTTAAGCGCATCCTGTTCAAAAAAAGAAAATCCAAAACAAAACAAAAAAGACTTTTGAAAAAAAAAAGACTTTTCAAATGAATCCATCTCACATCTCTCTTTTGAGTAATTATACATGTGTCTATTCATTTTGATATCAAGTGTGAGGAATTAGGAGAGATATGGGGTTGCAAATGAGGGTGCTCTTGCAGTTGGGTTTTCTTGTTTTGTTTGTTGGAATTGGCTCGGCTGAAATTTCTCACACCACTTTGAGGAACATTACTACAATAAACAAGAATGGGCCTTATTTGGGTATTATAGTCCCAAATGCCTTTGAAATGGCTCCACTCCTCCTTTCAGAAAGCTTTGTGGCTGATCCAAAGTTTCCCTACTTGGATTTTTCAGGTAAGTAGTCCTCACTACTCCGCAAAGTTTCAAGTTGGCATTTTCTTAGCCATGGTTCGAACATTCTAATGACTTGATCTTCTTGTGTTTCATAGGGAGGAGGTTTCGGATTGGACGGGTGGGAAACGAAAAGGTTATTGTTGTAATGACAGGATTGAGCATGGTGAGTGAATTAGGATTGTCCACGCATGTTTGGTTTTAATTCTTCTTTCATTTCTAAATTTTGCTCTATATATGGATATAGCTTAATGCGGGTATAGCCACGGAATTGCTGCTTAGTCTGTTTAAAGTGAAAGGAGTACTGCACCATGGAATTGCAGGAAATGCAAATCCTGATCTTCAAATTGGAGACGTAACTATCCCCAGATTTTGGGCTCATACAGGACTATGGAGTTGGCAGGTACTCAAATTCATATGTTCCTTATAGAATATGGTTTGTCTAATTATCTTAATGAGCATCGTGTGGAAAATCCTTAAGCTAAGTGATGCAGCACAGGTTAGCGGTATGGAGGGCTTTAGGATTTAGGGCTATATGAGCACAAGTTTAGGCTATGAATACTGTGCATGAACAGTAAAAGAGTTTAGGAATGTAGCTTAGAAGAGGGGGAAAGATAAAAAATCCTATGAGTCATACTTAGGTACCCTTAGGAATCAGGTTGATTGCTTCTCACAATTAAGATTGCCTCCCGCAATAAAGAGCAGATCTGTTAGAAAATTCGAATATCATTAATTAAATGTTTAAAGAAACCTATAAACATATATATGTAGAAAGAAAAAAGGTTCAATAAGAATATAAATTTTTTTTTCTTTTATTTAAGGATATAAACATTTTAAAATTTTAAATTATGCGATAAACTTTTACTTTATTCTATTTATTTAATAATATAAATTTTGTCATACTTCAGTAACAATGTCATTTTTCACATTGTCATGGCCCTCCAATAAATTCTTAAATAAGAAAGATGCCTTTTTCCTATTTTTGAATTCAAATTTTGCCATATTTTCTGTTTAAAAATATGAACTTGACTCTATTTCAATTAAAATTATCATTTTTCACATCATCATCGCAATCCAATAAATTCTTAAATAAAAAAAATACAAAATTTGTATCTTTATTTGAAAACAGTAAAAATTTAATAGTTGATTTATTAATTCAACAAATTCATATTCTTAAATAAAAAAATGATAAAATTTATATTTATATCTACAACTTTTCTCTATATAGAAATTACTAAAACTCCTAATATAACTTTTATTTAGAAGTTCTAATCCAAAGTAGACAAAAATTAAATAACTTAAAAAATATTTAATAATAAAAGATATATACTAATAAAAGAGTTAATTAAACTTCCAACTAAGTTTTTCATCATCGGCCATGTGCTTAACTAACATGGGCTTTAGAACCAACTTTGCTTTGCCTTTCATAAACCTTTGGGGGTTATTGCTAGTGTGTCCCATCACCAAGAGTCTGAAACACTAGGACCATGTGGCTTTTGATCTCTCAGTTTCAAAGCCTTCCAACGCAAGTAAGCATGAACATTGTCATCTGTTGATAAGTGATTTGAGTATCTTGAATCAATATCCTGTAATGTTACTACAACAAATTCATGTGACAGAGGTATGGAGAAGGACCTAATGATGAGCTACCATTAGAATCAAATGGAGACTATACCAGAAAAATTGGTTATCTCAGGTTTGCGGATTACAACAATGACACAAAAGCTAGTAATTCGTCAGATAACCTCTTGAACAATGTCTGGTATCAGCCAGAAGAAATCTTTCCAGTTGATGGAACTCCTGAAGTGCGCCAGCATGCCTTTTGGGTTCCAGTCGACGAAAATTACTTTGCAACTGCAGAAAGAGTTAAGGTAATGGAAACCTATCATCATATGGTGAATGATTGAATAAAAAGTCGATCCGCTCAATAATTTACAGAACTTGAATTTTTGGTACAGGATATACAGCTTGGTAGATGTGTCAATACAACCTGCTTACCGAGAAGACCTGTGGTGGCAAGGGTAGAAAGTGGAATCAGTGCGAATGTCTTCGTGGACAATAGGGCTTACCGCGAATTCTTGAGGTCAAAGTTCAATGCAACAGCTATTGACATGGAGAGTGCTGCAGTTGCACTGGTCTGCCATCAGCAAAAGATTCCATTCATTGCATTCAGGTCTCTATCTGATCTAGCTGGTGGTAGCTCCTCTGTGTCCAATGAAGCTGATGTGTTTAGCTCATTGGCAGCTCAAAATGCAGTTGATGTCTTAATTGGGTTCATTGCCTTGTTATCTTCGTAACTGCACATTTTCTTATGCCATGTAGTATTTCCTAGTTCCCACCTTGAACATCTTATTCAATAAACGGATTTAATAGTGAACACTTTGAACATCTTACTCAAGTTTATCAAT